ATTTTTGCACAATGTATGCATTTTCATCTTGGTTATAGTCCCCACACAATTCCCACTCCCCTTATCCTGACCTTATTCCCTCCTACCCCCCAACCCCCATAGTGTGTCTCTGGTCTATAGTTGCCTGTTGATTCTGATTCCTACTCTATTACAATTAGTCTTTTTCCTGGTCCCAAATTGGTTTTCCAAATTCCTGCTATGAGTGAGACCATCTGGTATTTTTCTTTTTCTTTCTGGCTTATTTCGCTGACTATGATCCCTTCCAGCTCCATCTATGTTGCTGCAAATTGCATGAGCTTATCTTTTTTGATTGCTGAGTAATATTCCATTGTGTATATGCACCACATCTTCTTGATCCAGTCATCTATTTTTGGGCATTTGGGTTGTCTCTATATCTTACCTATTATAAATAGCACTGCAATAAACATAGAGGTGCAGATGTGCTTTTGAATTAATGTTTCTGTGTCCTTCGGGTAAATACCTAGGAGTGGAATTGCTGGATCATATAGAAGCTCCATCTTTAGCAGGTTGAGGAATCTCCACACAGCTTTCCATAGTGGTTGGACAAGTTTGCATTCCCACCCTCAATGGAGGAGAGTTACTTTTTCTCCACATCCTCACCAACATTTGTTGTTGCTAGTTTTTTTTAACATGTGTCATTCTCACTGATGTAAGATGGTATCTCATGGTAGTTTTGATTTGCATTTCCCTGATTACAAGTGATGCTGAACATTTTTTCATATGCCTGTTGGCCATTTGCATTTCCTCTTTTTTGTTTTTTAAGATTTATTTATTTATTTATGCAAGCACTGTGTACAGTCAGAAGTGCAGGAGGGTGAGAGAATTCACCATAGCCAGAGCGGGAAGCAGAACAGGCAGAAGTACATTGCTGAGGGGAGCAGCGGGCAGCAGGAGAGGTCTGCGCGCCATGTGGGACCCTCGCCTGGTGGCCAGGAATTGAACTGGTGCTGCAGAAGCTGCGGGCAGCTTCGCAGCCCAGCACTCAACTGCTGCACCACCGGGGAGGCCCTCGCATTTCCTCTTTGAAGAAGTTCCTTTTTAGCTCTTCTGCCCATTTTTTGACTGGGTTATTTACTTTGTTTTTGTTGAGACTCTTCAGCTCTTTGTTGATTTTTGTGATCAGTCCTTTATCATTAGTGCTGTGTGCAAAAATTTTCTCCCAGTCATTGGGGTATCTGCTTGTTTTGGTTACTGTCTCTTTTGCTATACAGAAGCTCTTTAATTTGATGTAGTCCCAGCTCTTTATCTTTGCCTCCACTATCACTGCTTTGGGTGATGAGTCTTTAAAGATTTTTTTGAGGTGTATTTCGTGTAGTGTTTTGTCTATATTTCCTTCTATATATTTTATGCTTTCAGGTCTTATGTCTAGTTCTTCAATACATTTTGAGTTGGTTTTTGTGCATGGTGTGAGGCAGTAGTCAAGCTTCATTTTTTTGCACGTAGCGACCCAGTTTTCCCAGCACCATTTATTGAACAAACTTTCTTTGCTCCATTGCATATTCTTTGCTTCTTTGTCAAAGATTACTTGACTATATATTTATAGGTTTATTTCTGGATTTTCTATTTGGTTCCATTGATCGATGTGTCTGTTCTTGTTCCAATACCATGCAGTTTTGATTATTATGGCTTTGTAGTATAGTTTGAAGTCTGGGCGTGTGATGCCTCCATTCCCTTCTTTTTTTTTTTCAGGAGAGCTTTGGCTATTTGGGGTTTTTGGTGGCTCCATATGAATTTCATCAATGTTTGTTTTATTTCTTTGAAGAATATAATTAAAATTTTTATTGGAATAGCATTGAATCTGTAAATTGCTTTTGGTAGGATGGCCATTTTGATAATGTTAATTCTTCCAATCCATGAGCAGGGGATGTCTTTCCATTTCTTTGTGTCTTCTGTTTCTTTTAACAGTGTATTATAGTTTTCTTTATATAGGTCCTTTACTGCTTTTGTTAGGTTTATTCCCAAGTATTTGACTTTTTTTTTGTTTCAGTAATAAAAGGGATGGTTTTCTTGATTTCTTCTTCAGATTTATTGTGTATAGGAAGGCTACTGATTTTTGCATATTTATTTTGTATCCTGCTATTTTATTAAACTGATTGATTAGTTTGATTAGTTTTCCTGTGGAGTTTTTGGGGTTCTCTATGTATATTATCATATCATCTGCAAACAGTGATAGTTTGACTTCTTCCTTGCCTGTTTGGATTACTTGTATGTCTTTCTCTTGTCTTATTGCTCTGGCTAGGACTTCCAGTATTATATTGAAAAGCGTGGTGAGAGTGGACCTCCTTGTCTTGTTTCAGATCTTAATGGAAATTCTTTCAGCTTTTCACCATTGAGAATGATATTGGCTATGGGCTTGTCATATATGGCTTTTATGATATAGAGGTAGGTTCCTTATATCAGAATTCTAGGATCTTCTATTATAAGTATATACCTCCTCCCTTAGATCACCAAAAGACCAAATAGAAACTAGGATGGAGTCCAGGGAAGAGCAGGTATAAATTGGGCAGAGAGTATAGATTTCAAATGCTCACAAGTGATCCAGTTTAGTTCACAAAGTGGCTATATTGGGATCTTCAACCAAAGCCTGAAAGCCATTATAATGAATCACACATTTGCCCAGACCTTCTTGCCTGTGTTTCTATACTACTTTGGGTATATCTAGACGTCTCATATATATGTGAGTATGTGTGTATGTATGTACGTGTGTGTGTGTGTGTGTGTGTGTGTGTATGTATCTCCTTTGGGGCCTAGCAGGGGTGACTGAAGTCATAGTACCAATAAATCATGCTATTATTATATTTTTTAATGATTTATTTATTTATATATACAAGAACTGGGTTCTAGGCCAGAGGTGATGGGGTGAGAGGATTCACCAGAGACAGAGAGGGGAGCAGAACAGGCAGATCTACTGAAATACACTGCTGAGGGGAGCAGTGGGAAAGACAGGAGCGGTCTGCTGTGCTATATGGATTAGCTCCCTGGCTGTGGATAGAACTCATGCTGCAGTGGCTGGTGAGAGCTTGATAGCACTGATACTTTAACCCCTGAGCCACCAGGGAGGCCCCATACTGTTATTATTTGACATATTTTCACCTACTAACAGGTTAATAGGTGTCTCTGAGAGGTCTCTGAGAGGTATATAGAATTTTATTTTTCCTTAAATAGTTTCTAATATATAATACACACTTGGTATTTTCTCAACTAATGATAAATGAATTAGCATCACCAAAAATTTCCAAATTTTATTTTTCTTTAAAAGGTAGGATGAGATATTTCCCCTGTAAATTAATAAACTAACTTCATGAATATAAACAATGTGAATTTGAACACTTTATAATCACAATTTTCACCAGGTATACTACGTCAGATATACTCAGATATACCTCAGGTATACACCTCAGATACTACCTCAGATATACTCAGATATACCTCAGGCATACACCTCAGATATACTAATGCACTTCAACTTAAGAAAAAGATGAATCATCTTTTTACTACCTTTTTACTTAATGCTATTTTCAGTAAAAACTGACTGAACTGGAAACAGCCTTAGAGAATAATAAAATTATCATAAATATAATAAGACTTATAGTTTATACTGCACTTTACATTATCTTATTTGATGACAAGATTCCTGTGAGTTAGAGCTCCACTGAAGAAATAAAGAAACTTTAGCTCAAAAAATTTAAGCCACTTATTTAAGATTTATCAGAGCTGGAACTAGAAGCCAGATCATTCCGCATTCAGCTCTGTATATTTCTTGGCTATGCATATAGCTTCCTGTTTGGTTTCCTATGCACTGGTTCAAAGTTCTCACGAACTTTGTCTTTTCCTTTTTGCTATGTAGCCCTGGGGGGAAGTCGGATTGTTCAATCTGCGAAGCATACATCTTTAATTTTGTCTCGCAGGCACTCTTGACCACCACCAGGGGGCAAACGACTACCAGCTGGCTGCTCAGCAATACATTCCGCACACAGGGCTGTACAGTACAGGGACCCTCAGTATTTGATTCTTGACGGAAACTCCCTGCTAATTATTTCAACCACGGGGCCCCAGGGAGAGAACAAAGGCTCAGCACAGAGGGCTCTAGCGGCACTTAACCATTCAGCAGCCAGAAAGACCTCATGACAGCACTATCAACTGAAAAAAGCAATGAGATCCAAGAGACTTTGAGGGACAAACAGGAGGAGGTGGGATTTAATAACCGCAACTCTTGAATGTGTGTTTTCTACAGCTTTGATCTGATGTCTATGGTGATATTTACCAGCTCATCCATTTAAATTGAGAGATAACTTTGCCTACCCTCTTTTTCTGTGTAAATAATCATTGGTATTTGCATAGTGCGCTCCCCCCTCCCTTTTTAATCTTGATTTTCCCATTATATTCTTGGCTTACGTTCAGCTGACAGTTTATCTTTTAAAAAATTATTTCTTTAAAATACCTACATTTCACGTGTAAGAAATAAGGAAATCTAGAGTGAAAGAAGTAATCTCAAAGAGCAAATGCTGTTCAAGAGAAATTCTTCACAGCGGGAAGCAAGTGGGAAGCAAACAGCAGGTTGGACCCCTTACAACTCCGTGAGCCCAGCTTTCCCGGCCTCCCAGACTGGCTCAGCCTCTCTTAGACGCCGGAAAAACGAGAGTCCTTAGAGAGGGACCAGGGTGACAGAGACAGGACGGGGACACCATGAGCTTCCCGGGCTACAAAATTTAAAATCTTGTTTTCTTTCAAGAAGTCTCATCATAAAACCCTGAACTCTAAAACAGAAGGGTGGGAACGCTCAGAAAGCTCAGGTAAGCCCCTAAGAACCAGGTCAAACGGGGCTAAACTCTCCTGTTGGCGCCAGTAAAGTCTCTCTCACTAGCAGCGAACGCGTCTGAAACCCCGCGAAACCCCGTTTTCCACCAGAAAACCCCGTTTTCCACCAGATTTCCACCTCAGATTCTTTTCACTAAAGATCGTTCATCTGGGCGCCTCACCTCCTAAAATGGTTGTCTGACAGAAGAGGGGCTCCGGCGGCCCCGCCCTCCACCCCCCTGGGCCGCCTCCGCGCAAGCCGAGCGCGCCGGGCGGGTCTCCCGCCGGACCCGGGCGGGGGCGGCGGCGCGGGGCGCACACTCCCCGCCAGCTTCCGGCAACTCACGGGTTACCGCGAGGCGGCGGCGCGCGCCGAGGGGAGAGGCGGTTGCTGACAGGTGGCGCCTGCGCACTGGGAACGCTCATTGTGCCCCGCAGCTGCCGAGCCGCCCGCCCGCCCGCCAGCCGTCCGCTCGGCGCGTCAGTCTGCGAGAGTCGAGCGGTGGGTGCGGAGCTCGCGGCCGTTCCCGCGGCCTCCTCCTCCTCCCGGCTCCCTGCACCCCCGCCCCACACCCCCTGCCCCATCCCGGCTCGTCACCCTCCCGCCCCCCACACTCAGGACGAGAATGCCCTGCCCGGAACAACCCAGCAGCACCTAGATGGCTTTGGTCACGGTCCAGCGGTCGCCTACCCCCAGCACCACCTCCAGCCCCTGCGCCTCGGTGAGTCCCTCCTGGCGGCCGCTTCGCTCCTTCTGTCACTGCGGCTCCGCTTTGCCTCAGCGGGTCCCGCCGAGCGCCACTGCGCACGCGCCGCGCCGCTTCCCAGGCCTCGGCACCCGGCGGCCGCGAACCCCCCGCACGCCCCGCGTTGAAGGCGAGCTGCAGGAACTGCCGGACGTGGGTTTTTGCCCCCTTCTCCCTGGGCGCCTACCTCTGAGAGGCCTCTCCTCAGATCCCACCTCCCCGCCCCTCCGCGGCATGCCTGCCTATGGCTTAGGCACTTCCTTTCGGGAATGAGTCATTCTTGCTTTTCACCCTCCCCCTTCCTTTACCCTCTGTTGCTCTGCTGCAGGGAGAGGACCAGGGGACTCCTGCGCCGCCCCTTACACACACCCCTAGCCCCTTCCCCACGCCCGTTTCATGGACCCGTTCAGCATTTGCACACTGCAGGCTCTCCGTGGTGTTTGCCTCTCCCCACCCCCCCAGTCACTGACTGCCTTGCTGGTGCTCGGTACTGTTCGGCTGCATTGGACTGCTCAGCGGTACTTACTCCTTGGATTCTTCCCTCCTCCCCTCCCCCAAAGAGTGGTCGTGGTCTCTGCTTCTTGGACCTGTTACCTTTCCCCAGCGAGGTCCCCTGGCGTCTGGCGCTGTTTGATGACCAGTGCCAATTCATTTCCATCTTCCAGACATTTATGTCTTACACTCATTGCTCATGATCGTTTTTGTTCTTGGATGGTGTTTGTATGGCTCGTTAGTTTCAGATGCCGCTGCCAGTGAAGCATGCTTCCAGGGGAAAATACCCTGGAACCAGCCTTTTCCTGCTGGGCCCTTCTTTGCCTTTGCCCCCACCCCCATCCCCAGTCCCCCACCCCACCCCTTACACTCTATTCTTTTAGGCTTTATTTCTGAAATATTTATTTTAAAAATGAAATATTGCACCGGTGGGGCAACATGGAATATTTTTTTGAAATCCAGATGTTTTAGAGGGAAATAGATCAAATGAAAAGATGAGCAGTTAGAAAAAACATCTTGAACTTCCTCCATAATTGTAAAATTTAGAACTATATTGGTGGATTTAGTGGTGTCAAGTTGCAAAAAGGTATTCGGTAAACATTGTACCACCTTCCACTGTAAAAAATCGGGTTACTTTAAATATTTATTTGTTAACTGAGGTGTGAGCCATAAAAATATATTGGCTTGTGATTTCAACAGTTTACTGAATTTCAAAATTTTGTTTCAGATAGTGTGGTTTCCTTTTTTCCCCTTGAGTTTTCTTTTGCATTTTGTGTGACCAAATTGACCACCATATTCTAATTCTAGTAGTGATTGTATTTCAGAGGTTAACTTGCCTTGTGTTGTTCCAAAGAGCAGAACTAGGATCCTTGAATAGAAGTTGAGGGAGGCTTATTTCTAATCACTGTACAGAAGAATTGTGTAACAATGGAGTGGACTGCCTTGCAAAATAGTGAATGCCCTTTGCTGAAAGTATTCAAGCAATGGCTGTAGGACCCTTTGCCTAGGAGGTATAAAGAATTCCACAGTGAGGATTTCAAAGACTCTTTTCATTTTTTAAGATTCTGTCATTTGGGAATAATTGCACTTCAAGGCCGTTGAAACCTTTTGGGGTCCTCTAAGACAAGTATCCTAGGACTAGAAATTTAATATAATTTATTCTTATGGGTATGCTAATTTATGTAATTTTTGAAAAGTCATTAACAAACCATCTTAATTCATTCCACTAGTAAACTCTTTGAGTATAGTAGTCACCGAACTGCATTTGATTTTGACTGAAAAAGCAACTGAAGGTTAGTCAAATCATGCAAATAAACTGGAAGCCAATATTATAGTAACATTATTTTCCAGGGCATTTTAAAAACACTTTATGTTATAATCATAGTATACATAAAGTTACAGCAATTTTCTTGAGGTGAATGATTAGTATACAGTAAGGTCACATCTACTTGATGAATTAATTAGTCCAAACTTGATTACTTTAGAATTTTGAGATATGTTAATAGTTATTTTTGACTAGGTCAGTAAATTGATCATGTGGTAAATTCAACTGTGTTGTTAAATGAGGGATATTTTTACATTTACTTGCTTTAGAAACCTGGTTATTTCCGTTGTTTATAAGTTGGTCTGGGTGCAAAGGAATCCTGGAACTGGGGGGTGTGTGTGAGCGAAAATGTGAAACATTGAGCATTGATAACATGAATGATGAGCCAGTTATCTTTCCTTTTAAATTGTCTTCCTATTTCACTTCCTTGCATTGTCTTGTATTCCAGTGTTTCATTGCTGTCTTACCTGCGTTTATTTGCTGTCGCATCACTTGCTGCACAAAGAGGTTTAGTTGTTAGTTTTAAAAGAAAAAGCAAAATGAATCAAGAGGACCATAAAAGGAGAGACTTGATTTTGTGAGGCTGGAAATTTAGTTTTTAAATTAAATCATTTAAAGCATTTAATTATGCTTTTTCATTATAGGAGGTAGGGGGTTTGAATACTGTCAGCTCTTTAGTGTTCTCTTATTAGGAATTAAACAAATCTATTCACCATCTACTGAGTGTGAATGACTATAAACACTAAGATATAAAAGATATTCTATCCATCAGGAATATAAATATGAGATGAGAGGGTAGAAAAGGAAAGTGAGGAGAATAATATTGTGTGTACATGAACAGCCAGTTTGTAATGGCCCTAACTATTGTCTAAATTGAGATTAAGGTAAATTCACTCATGGCAAAAGTAATAATAACAATATCTAACTTCTCTTTGGGTGTTGTTTATGTCAGGCGTCATGCTGAGTGCTTTACATAGATTAATTCATTTACTTCTCTCAATATACTCCATTTTACAGGTGAAGAAACTGAGGTAAAGAACTGTTAAGTGGCAATATGCCCATTGCCACTCATTTGTTGAAGCTCTAATTCAAATGTAGATGTGTCTAACTTTAGAATCGCCATCTTTTCCCTCATGACAAACAAAAGTGTATGTAGTAGGTGACTCTCAAACTAGTTTTGAAGGATGGGTTGAATTTTTATAGGCTAAGCTAGAAGCTGGGAAGTAGAGTATTCCTGGTAGAGACTGTCTACAACAACACTCAGAGGCAGACTAGTACAAGGCATACCTGAAGAATAAGCTGGTTTGAGGAATGATTTGTTTGGAAGTGTAAGAGATAAAGGTCAGGAGGCAACTAGGGCTGCACAGGGACTGCTGAGCTTAGGAGTTTGAACTTGATAGAGAAGGTAAAGGAGAGTCCTTGGAGGTTTTTGAGCAGGTATAGAAAATAGGGGGAGCAAAGAGATTTGAGAGAAGTCATGTTAGAGACTGTTAACGTAACCCAGTTAGAGACCGTTAAAGTAACGCAGGTATAAGATAATGAAGGTCTGAAGTCTGAATTGGGATTGTGAAGTGGTAATGAAAAGAAAGGGACAGATCTAAGGGATTGTGGAAAAGATAACAAGAACCTAGGGACTGATTGGACATAGAGGAGGAAGAATCAGAGATATCAAGTCTTGGAATATGTAGATACTATCTGGAATGACTATCCTAGTTCGTCCTAGATAATAGATGTTTCTTAATTAATAGAGAGCAGTTTAATAATTATCTCTTTCCCTCTGTTCTTTCTGATATAAATTTTCTGAATGGATACCTATATTGATTCATGTAAATTCAATGAAATGCCATAAAAATCTTTTACTTTTCTGTACTTTATACTTTTCACAGTGTTTTTGTGTTTGCGATCTAATTTAATTCTAGAGCAGTCTCATAAGTTATGCAGGACAAGTACCAAGGTTAAAAAAAAGCTGAAGGTTACAAAATTAATTGGCGTAAAAACCTGCTCTAGAAGTAAGTTCCCTTGGCTTTTTGTCCACATTTCTTTCCATGATGTGAAAAGAGAAAAGGCATATGAGTTTCTAATCCTAAGAATTTGACTACCAGCATAGTAAAGGAACCAAGACTTGACATACAATCAAGAATTCAGGGCCTCCCCGGTGGCGCAGTGGTTGAGCGCTGGGTTGCGAAGCTGCCTGCAGCCTCTGCAGCGCCGGTTCGATCCCCAGCTGCTCCCCGGCCACCGGAGGAGGGTCCCACGTGGCGCGCAGACCTCTCCTGCCACCCCACATGGCGTGCAGACCTCTCCTGCCGCCCGCTGCTCCCCCCAGCAGTGTACTTCGGTCCTTCTGCCTGCTCTGCTCCCCGCTCTTGGTCTGGTGAATTCTCTCACCCTCCCGCGCTTCTGACTGTACCCAGTGCTTGTATAAACAAAACAAACAAACAAATAAATAAATAAATAACATGCCTCTATAAAAAAAAAATTTAAAAAAAAAAAAAAAAAAAAAAAATTCACAATCTCTTTGGAGTTCATTTATATTGCAGCCATGGCTACCTGCAACAGAATTACCTAAGTCTGTTGTGATACCTTGTAGGTGAAAGTGAAGCCTATTTTTCTCTTATATTTATACTGAATTGTTATAAACTCGGATATTTAGTTTCCTTACTCTAGATTACATAATCACAGTAAAATAAGAATGGAAAGTGGCAGGTACTACTAAAGGCAGGTACCCTTATAGTTCTGGAAAAAGATAGGTGTTGGTTTTACAGCAAGGGAGGAAGAATTGCTGGCATAAGGAAAAATTTAGCATTCATGAACTACTTAATGACAGGACAGATTCCCCTCTAAGACCTAGTAGACCCTCAGAACTTTTATTGTATGGTCATAAAGAATCATTAAAACAGGCTTAATCTTTTTTTGTCTTCATTTAAACAGTCAGGGTTAAGTGGTGTGTTATTAAATAGATATCCATTCAAGTTTCCTAAATGTTTAAATGCACATTTTAATTACTGGGAAATTCATTTACATAAACCTATTTCCTATGATGCTGGATAGAGATTGAATTATATATCCTCAAATATATATAGCTCTTTCCCTAGCAGAGAAAAATAACAATAGTTAATATGAAATTTATATATGTGAAGTATAAGTAGTTAAAAGTGAT